GAAAAATGATGAGAAATGGAAAAAATGGAAACAAAGTCTTTGTAAATAGGGAAGGGTGGAGGGGGTGAAGGGAGGGCTAGGAATGGGGCAAAAATAAGAACCAAGATGCATCGTGTAAAGGTGCAAGTTCCCAATGAGAAATATAAATGTTTTGTATACCTAAAATTTACCAATAAATGAATTTAAGTAATAATAATAATAATAATAAAAGAGAGCCTCTCCATACCTCAGGAAGTATTGTAGCTGAACTTTATTGTTCAGGTCCCAATTTTGGTCTGCTTCTGTGAACTGGCCCTGAGAATACATTTGAACATTTATCCCACCCTCTGTGGCATTGTTTCCTAACCAGAGGAGGGCTGGTTGAGTCACTCTCTGGCATTCTTCAGTGTTGTACAGCATCAAGAGAAGCTTTTTACTATCTAGCCACGTTGGATTATGTGTTTGGAAGATATATTGAAGCAAATCTATAAGGGGCTGGGGCTTCTCTGTATAAGAGGAAAATGGTTTTTCCAGTTGGTGTGAGGTCAGTGGTCAAGAAGGCTGGAAGACAAAGCTCTGCTGTCCCCCTTGGTTTTGGCTATCCATATCATAGTAAAGGGGCCCATATTTTCTTGAAGAGGCATTTGTAAAGCCCTTATGCAGCCCAATTGGAAGCAGCTTGTTTAATCATTTCAGCCCCCTGCATTTTCCTCCCAGGGCAAGGACCCTGACTTTTCCTTCTGATATGGAGTGGTTTGGGGCTCACTGTCAGTGAATCCTGTTCCCTTGTGAGCTGGCCTCAGAAAGGGGCAGTAGATTGGAGCATAAGGAGGGGGTCTCTGCCTCCTCAGGTGGCTCTTGTAGAAGTGGTTTTTCTTCTTTTTTTTTTTTTTTGCTGGCTTTCCTTTGCTCCTGTGGCTGATTTTTTCTGTCCTTTTTTTTTTTTATGCTCAGGTTGGGCCATAAGAGTTTTTGCAATATGCCTCCAGATAGGGCTGTAACCATGTGAGTCAAGTCTTGACTGTATTTAACCATGAGTCAATGTAGGGAACCTGGTCTAGGTGTCCTGGGTATCCCCCATCCCCAGTAGCCATCCTATATACATGCCCAATTGTCCCCGTCTAGTCTAGTATTCCCTCAGCCAGCCATCCAACATCAAAGGAGGGCTAATTGATCTCACAAAGAGTTCTCAATCTCTGGGGCATTAGTTTTACTCCGTAGTTCCCTGTATAGCCTTTTTTCTGCAACACTGCCTTGTGACCACAAAGGAGAATGGAAATGACAGGCTTGCTGTCTCCTTTGCCTGCAGGCACAAGGGCCCCAAGCTGAGGGAAACTCCAAATCCCTGCCTCCACTGGGTGAAACTTAAACTTGGATAGGAAATTGGATCTCCCACAGTCCAGTGTCCTCTCCTGTCAGTGCAATGGAACCTGAGGGGCTAAAGAATGATTTTGGAACAGCACACTATAGGATCATGGTAAGGTTATGGGGGCCCCAAGGTAGGACCCATCACATAAGGACAGAAGGGGAGCTTGATCACCTCCTGGGGGATTCTAAGTATTCTGACTTGGATTGAACTGAACAAAATCTAGTCTCCTTTGTGGTCACAAGGCAATGTTGCAGAATTCAAGAGAAACCATAGGTGAAACAAGAGGATTTATTCTGGTTTAGATACACACTGATTTAGTGGATTCATGTCCAAAACCTAAGCCCTGAACAAATGAAAAGCTCATTTTTAAAAAAATTTTTTTAAAAATTCTTTTACTGGTACATTTTAGGTATACAACACAATTACATTTCTCATTGGGAATTGTACCTTTACATAAGGCATCTTGGTTCTTATTTTTTCCCCATTCCTAGCCCTCCCTTCACCCCCTCCACCCTTCCCTATTTACAAAGACTTTATTTCCATTTTTCCCATTTCTCATCATTTTTTCTTTCCCTTCTTTCCTTTCCCCTGCCCCTCCCACTACCCCTACCCCTTTGCACCTTTTCTTCCTATTTTGCATTATCCATTATTCATTCTAATCATTGGTACATTTTAGGTATACAATATAATGACATTCATCATTGAAAATTTGCACCTTTACATAGTCTCTCTTGGTTCTTATTTTTCACCCTTGTCCAGCCCTCCCTTCAACCCCTCCATTTCTCCCTATTTACAAAGATTTTGTTCCTATTTTTCCATTTTCTCATACTAATCCCATTCCCTTCTATCCTTTTCCCTAGCCCTCCCACTTCCTTCCCCTTTGCCCCTTTTCTTCCTATTTCACATTACCTATTACACATTTAGTCCTTATATACACTTTCAGTTTCTCACACCAGAGAAACTATTCGGTATTTATACATGTGTGTCCTATTTATTTCACTTAAGAGTATCGCCTCAATGTGCATGCATCCACTTAACTATAAATGTCTCTAATTTCTCATTTTTTATGGCTGAGTAGTACTCCATTTTATTAAAAAACCACATTTTCTTTATCCAGTCTCCAGTTGATGGGCATTTGGGCTGTTTCCAAGTTTTAGCAATCACAAGCTGTGCTGCTATGAACATGGGTGCACATATATCACTGTGGTATGATTCTTTTAATTCTTTGGGGAAGATCCCCAGCAGGGGAATAGCGGGGTCAAATGGGACTTCCAGTCCTAGTTCTTTGAGGTATCTCCATACTGATTTCCACAGTGGTTGCACCAGTCTACACTCCCACCAGCAGTGGAGCAGGGTTCCTCTTTCCCCACAGCTCTGCCAGCGTTTGTTATTGGTTGATTTCATGATAGTAGCCATTCTTTCTGGAGTGAGGTGGAATCTCAGTGTTGTTTTCGTTTACATCTCTCAAATGACCAGTAATGTGGAATATTTCTTCATGTATTTATTTGCTATTTCTACTTCTTGTTCTGAGAAATGTCTGTTCATTTCAGATGCCCATTTTCGGTTTGGGTCTTTAAATTTGGGAGGTCTGATCTTTTTAAGTTCTTTATAGATTCAAGATAGTAGACCTTTGTCTGAGGAAGAGCAGGTGAAGATTTTTTTCCCACATTGTGGGTTGTCTCTTCACACTGCTGATGGTTTCTCTTGCTGTGCAGAAGCTTTTTAATAAGAAGAGATCCCACTTGTTGATTGTGCTAGTTCACGAGCAACTGAGGTTTTGTTCATAAAATCTTAGGAAAAGCTCATTTTTATACATTTGGTCCAAGAAGTTGGCATGAAGCAGACACTCAGTGGCAGGTTTATAATTTAGCCTTTAAAGAAAACAGAGTCCTGTGAGAGCAGGATGTCATAGGACTCTTTTCAGGAACATTGTTTTTAATCTTATCTGTAACAGAACAGAGGTCATAGGTTACAGAGAAGGGAAGTCTGAAGAGGAATTGCTCAAGGCTAGGGAGGAAGGAAAAAACTTGTTTTCCTCTTAAATTCTGCTTTACAATAAGACACCACAGATGCTGGATTCAAGAGATGCTATATAACTCAGAAAAAAGTCAGAATTCTAGGAGTAAGGCAAAAATTAGATGATTCAAAAGGTCTGAAATTTTTTTTTCACCAAAATCATAGCAGAAAAATTTCCAAATCTAGGTAAGACATTTAATATTCTAGTACAAGAGTCCTATAGTACCCTGAATAGCTACAACCAGAAAAGAACCACTCCATGCCAAATCATAATAAAAATTCTAGAAATTCAACAAAAGTTTGACTACTAAATCTGTTAAAGAAAAGCAACAAGTAAACTATAAAAGCAAACCTAACAGAAAAACAATGAATTTCTCAGCAGGTTTCATGTCTGTAGTACATAATGTTTACATTCTTTGTGGGAAGTTGGTACATGTACATAACATATCTTTGATAGAGTTCTCTGCTAAATAAAATGGCCCCGACAACCCCACATCCTAAAATGGCCCCTGCCTACAGGGAACGAGTCACTCCAGAGAGAACAAAGACCTGCTTTTTCCCACCTCACCCCCACTTGTAGCCAATCATCTGCCTCCACCACACTCCTGGAGCCCTTATAAACCTCACTTACCCAGGCCCTGGTTGCTGCTCTTGCCATTGTTCGAGACAGCCCAGCAGCAGCTCTGTCCCTTAATAAACGCCTCACCTTGGGTGTTCATGTTTTGGCTCATTTTATTTCTCTCAATCTTAATTCCATTATTATCCCCTTTCTCTTCTCTCCCTCCTCCATCTACCAATCTCTTGATCCCCTTTCCTTTTTTTTTTTTTACATGTTTATAGTATATATAGTACCTTTCTTGTGTGGAGTAGGTACCTGTATATAACACATTCTAATTTCTTCTTTTTCATTAGGAAGGGATAAAGGGCAATAATAACTCTTAATGTCAGTGTTATTAACTCCCCCAAAGACACAAAGTAGCAGATAGATTAAAAAAAATGCAACCATATATTGCTTACAGGAGATATACCTCATCTAAAAGGAAGTTCATAGACTGAGATGAAAGGATGGAAAATGATACTCTATGGAACAGGAGACTGAAAGCAAGCAGGAGTAGCCGTCTTATTTACAGACATAGCAGACCTGAAGCCAAAGCTGATCAGAAGAGACAAAGATGGAACAATTCAACAGGAAGAGATAACAATTGTAGATATTTATTGGCACAGTGCCAGGGATTTAGCTCAGTGGCACCAAGCCTCCCTTAAATGCACAAGGCCCTGATTTCAATCCCTGGTACCGGAAAAAAAAAAGAGAAAAAAATATTTATTGGAGCACATAACTTTATAAAAATACTACTGGACTTAAATGGACAAATAGATATCAACATAACCATAGCTGAGGACTTCAATACCACACCCTTACAAATACACTGTTCAAGTAGACAAAACATATCAACATACAAATATCAGAGATATTTGATATCAGAAATATCAGAGATACAGACTTAACAGATATGTACAGAGGGTTTTATCCAAAAAAAGCAAAATATACATTTTTCTCAGCACACATAGACTTTTTTCCAAAAAAGATTATATCTTAAGCCATAAAGCATGCTTAAATAAATACAAAATATTGAAATAATCCACTGCATACTATTGAATCATAGTGGAATTAAGGTACAAATTGACAGCAAAAGAAACCACAGGAATTTCACAAACACATAGAGATTAAATGATACATTACCAAATAATCAGTGGATCACAAAAGCAATTGTGGAGGAAATTAAAAAAAGTTCCTAGAGTCAAATGATAATGGAGGCATAGCAGGCCAAAACAGAAAGGACATAATGAAAGCAGTGCTAATAGGGAAGTAAATGCACACCTAAAAGTATAGAGTGATACCAAATAGCTAATCTAACAATACATCTCAAGGGCCTAAAAAAACAAGAACAATATAAAACTGAAATTGATAGAAAAAATCATCCATATCAAAGTGAAAATAAAAGTAATTGAGACTAAAAAAGAATGCAAATGATTGATGAGTCAAAACGTTTTTTAAAAAAGGATAAACAAACATGATTGATGAACCCTTAGTGAAACTTACAAAATAAGAAAAAACCCTCATCATTGCAATTAGCAATGATAAAGGTTAAATCCAATGGGCTGCACTGAAATCCAGATGATTATAAGAAACTCCTTCAAAAACTTACACTCCAATAAATTGGAGAACCTAGATGAAATGGAGAAATTCTTAGACATAAATCAATTACCAACAACGAAACAAGAAAATATAAAAACTCTGAATAGGTCAGTAACAGGAAATGAAATACAGTCATTGTTTTATTTACTTTCTTATTGCTGAGACACAATACCCGACACCCATAAACTAAAGGAGGAATGGTTTATTTTGGTTCACAGTTTGTAGAGTTTTCAATTCACAGTTCACTGTCTCCAAGGCAGGGTAGGATGACAGAGGAAAAACAGCTAATGGCATGGTAGCAGGAAGTACAGATGGAGAGATCAAGGGAGGAAGAAGGGAGATAGACCCTTTGGGGCCATGCCCAGTGACCCACCTCGTTTAAAAAGCTTTACCTCCCAACATCACATTCAGCTATAAACTCATCAGCAGACTAATCCACTGCTGAATATCACACCCCCATGACCCAATTCCCCCAAAAGCTCCACCTATAAGCACATAATGCCTTGTGGAGACATCCACCATAAACCATAACAGTCAATAATACAAATTCTACCAACAAAGAAAAGTTCAGAACCAAGTACATTCAATGAAATATTCTTCCAAAACTTCAGGAAGATCTAATGCCAATACTCCTCATAGTCTTCAATGAAATTAAAAGAGAAGGGATACTGGCAAACTCATTCCTGGAAGGTTGCAGTACTCTAATATCAAAATCAGATGACCTAACAAAAAACAAAACTACAGGCCAATCTTCTTCTTTTTTTATTTTTTGGTACCAGGGATTGAACTTGGGACCTTGTGCTTGCGAGGCAGGCAGCTGCACCACTGAGCTAAATCCCTGGTCCCAAGCCAATCTTCTTAATGAACATAGATGCAAAAATCCTCAACAAGACAGCTGCTAACAAAATGCAACAACTCATTTAAAATATATATCATAGTCTAGTTGGTTTCATCCCCAGGAAGCAAGGATGATAAAATGCGTGTAAATCACCAAATGTAAGCCACATAAATAGAAGAAAGGGCAAAAATCACATGATCATCTGAATAGATGCAGAAAAAGCCCTTGAGAAAAATCCAACATCCTATTTACAAAACCCTTTGTTTCCATTTTTTCCTTCTTTTCTCATATTTTTTCTTTCCCTTCCTTTCTTTCCACTACTCACCCTCCCTATTTCCCCTTCCCTTTTGGACCTTTTCTTCTTATTTCACATTATTTATTATACATTTTTGTCCTCATGTACACTTTCGGTTTCTCACACCAGAGAAACTGTCTAGTATTTACACATGTGTGTCCTATTTATTTCACTGAAGAGTATGGCCTCAATGTGCATCCATTTAGCTATAAATGTCTCTAGTTTCTCATTCTTTATGGTGGAGTAGTACTCCATTTTATAAAAAAAAAAACCCCACGTCTTCTTTATCCAGTCACCAGTTGATGGGCATTTGGGCTTTTTCCAAGTTTTAGCTGTTACAAATTGTGCCACAGTAAACATGGGTGTGCAGATATCTCTGTGGCACGATGCTTTTAAAATGGGACCTCTAATCCTAGTTTTTTGAGGAATCTCCCTATGGATTTCCACAGTGGTTGCACCAGTCTACACTCCACCAACAATGGAGAAGGGTTCCTTTTCCCCCATAACCTCACCAGCACTTGCTATTGTTTGATTTCTTGATATTAGGGAATGGGGAAAAAGGAAGAGCCAAGATATATCATGTACAGGTACAAATTTCCAATGATGAATGAGATCATAATGTATACCTAAAATGTACCAATAAATTTAATAAAAAGAAAAATCCAACATCCATTCAGGATAAGAACCCTGATGAAAATATTCATAAAGTGACCATATCTGAAACTGTTAAAAGCCATTCACTACAAACCCACTGCCTACCTCATACTAAATGGGAACACTGAAATCATTCTCTAAAATCAGAAACAAGACAAGGATTTCCACCATCACCACATCTGTTTAATACAGTATTCAAGATTTTAGCCAGAACAATCAGGCAAGAGAAAAAATAAATGGGATATTAACAGGAAAGTAATAAATCAAACTATCCTTATTCATAGATGACATGATCCTTAATAGAGAAGACCCCAAAACTCCAACAGTCTCCTAGAACTAATTAAGAAATTCAGCCAAGTAGCATGATACAAAGTAAACACACAAAAGTCACCAGTGTTCCTTTACATTATCAATTAACCCACTAAAAAAGAATTTAGGAAAAAGTTCCATTCACAGTAGTTTCAAAAATATTTAAATCCTTCAGAATTAACCAAGGAAGTGAAAGACCTCAGTAATGAAAAGTACAGTACTTTGATAATATATTTCCAAGTAGGACATCAGAAATTGGAAAGATACCCCTGTTCCTAGATAAGCAGAATCAATATTGTCAAAATGGCCATATTACAAAAAAAGATATACAGATCTCATGCAGTGCCAATCAAAACACCAACAGTGTTCTTCATCAAACTAGAAAAAGATTCTAAAATTTATATGGAACCAGAAGTGACCCAAAATTACAAAAGCAATCCTGGGCAATAGACACAAAGCATGACACATCACAATTCTGGATTTCAAGTTATATTTCCAAGCTACAGAGAGAAAAAAAGCATGATAGTGCCACAAAGATTCATCAATCAGTGGAATAGAACTGAGAATACAGAAGTAACCCCAGGCACTTTCAACCATCTGATCTTTGACAAAGGGACCAAAAAATGTGCTAGATAAAAGATAGCTTTTTAAACAAATTGTGCTGGGAAAATGGCTATTGCACATGTGAAAAAATGAATCTGTACCTATATTTCTCAGCCTGTAGTAAAATAAATTCAAAGTGGATCAAAGTCCTAGATATTAAAATGGAAACATATAATCTGCTAGAATATAAAAGAGGTAAACCTCTTGAAATAGAGGCATGGGCAAGGACTTTCTAAATAGAACCCCAATTGCATAAGAAATAAGAGCAATAATCAACACATGGTATTATCTCACATTATAATGCTGCTGCATAGCCAACACAAGGAAGATATAACCTATGGAATAAGAAAAATTTTACCAGATATACTTTGTACAGAGAACTAATATCTGGAAAATGTAAAGAACTCAAAACAGTAAACCTCTCAAAATAAAAGACTCAATCAAAAACTTTGGAAAATTCAACAGAGCCAAAGACAAAAATCACGATTATCTTAGTAGAATGCAGAAGACTTTAGTAAAATCCAATGTCTCTACAAGAACAGCCCTGGAGAATCTAGGTATAGAAGCACCTTACATCAACATAATAAAGGCTATGGCCAGGGATTTAGCGCAGTGGCACTACGCCTGTCTCATAAGCGCAAGGTCCTGAGTTTGATCTCTGGTACAAAAAAAAAAAAAACAAAAAAACCAAAAATGCCCATAATAAAGGCTACATAAAACAAACCCAAGCTTAACATTGTACTACTAAATGAGACAAAACTA